AACATTAGTGTAAACCAAATGCATTTATTATTTGCAATGTAACCCAATATACTAAGAGATGGCATGTGCTTTATTTTAATTAGCTGTTTCTTTCAAAGAGCTGCTTGGTCCAACTGTCTTGATAAGAAAAAATTGTAGCCATTGCTCAAAATGCTTGTAGCAAATCTAGTTTCAAATTGAAGCAATTTATTCCAAAAGCAGTCTACTACTGCAGCAATAATCAATGTGCTTTCCCTTAGCCCTTACTGGAGCTTTCCAAGGACTATTGTTAATTGCCTGTAACTAAATGATCGCTGGTGCCCTTAAATGTAACTCTTTGGCACTTGTTCATTTGTTGTGTTTAACCAAATGCTAGTTTCTCTTAGGTTTTGCCTAGAAATTTTGCTTTACAATTTTTAATATTCAGTCTCAGTCCCTTAAAGGGGGCAAAGTCTATCATTTTAATAAAATAACACAAAGGCTAAACAGATTTTAAAAGGTCTGCACTTTCTCTATCCATCCTCTGATGTTGAATTGTGCCGAAATGGAATCTTTCTATTTTTTAAATGCTGCCACTCCAGGCAACTTGAACTTGAGCTGAAAAGCAGATTCCATTTCAAAAGGAAAATGACATTTGCTGGGGCAACACTTTTCACATTTTAGTGTAAAGATAAAATATAGCAGTGGGTTCAAGTCATTTCTTTAACTGTAACAGAATTTAACCCCTAGTAATTTTGTCTTCCTATGTATAAGCAATAATGGGTAGCACTCATATTAATAAATGTGTCCAGCTTGGAGCAAAAGAAATGTGAAAACTAAATCTAATACACCATTTTCTTTGAGAGAGTTTACACATGCTATATAAACTAATGTGAGTAACTTAAATCAAATGGAAAAATTTTAACCTGCACTTATTTATAATATGGAGGCATATAAATTACTCTCGCCTAAAAATAATGTTGTAACTGAGGAGCAAGCACTGGTGTGTGTACTGTGGGGAAAGACACATTTCTTTTCTGACTTCCAAGGATATTATAAGAACACCATGCTTCTGCATGTGATACTACGAAAGTATCTGGGGGAAATCAGAGACACTCTCAGGATCTGAGGATCAATTAGCTTCATGTAAATGCTGTTTCTTTGGACCAGTTTTTGGTATTCCCATCATTAGTAAATGACTATCATGTCTCAGAAGACTTGGTCTTGCTTATTGCCCATACTCTAAGTATATATAACTTTCATCTGTTCGTACCTTGAAAAATGTATTCCTTTGACACAAGACCACTTTGTAATTTCTAAGCTACATAACCCTGCTGTCTTTTTCTCATTACATATCAGACAATAGTATTGATTGGCCTGGTGAATAGTGTATTTGAGATAGTGTATAAAATTTTTTGAGTGGCTCTGGACATCTAGACATGGGAATAATTCACATTTGGACAATTATTTCTCTAAAAATACAAAGGACTTACTTTTATATAATTTTCTCTAGCTTATACATATCTGATTTTTAAAAGATTTTTTAAAGTGTACAGAAACCAGAATTATAAATACCATCTGAAGAAAGCGAAAATTATGCTAATTAGATTAATAGGATTATGTTTCAGGCACAATTTTTGATTGTTTCAAGAGCTGTTTGATTTGATCTGGGTGTGTAAGGTATGCTAGATGCCCAGGCCCAGTTCCATGCCTTCAGCATCAAAAGATGTGTTTAGGGGCAGCACAGAAGAATCACTGTCTGCCTGGGCACATATCTACACCAGAGCAGCTTTCCTGACTCCCAGCTTTCTTTATAGCTTCTCCCCATGTAGGCCTTGGGTTAAAACTTATAATGGCTCTTTTTTTTTACTTAAATTTATTGGAGTGACATTGGTTAATAAAATTGTGTCAGTTTCAAGTGTACAATTCAATAATATGTCATATGTATATTACATTGTGTACTCACCACCCAAAGTTAAATCTCCTTCTGTCACCATATATTTGACCCCCCTTTACCCATCTCTATCTCCCCATCCCCTTTCCCTCTGATAACCACAAAACTGTCGTCTGTGTCCATGAGTCTCTCTTTGTTTGTCTTGTTCACTTGTTGCTTTCAGTTTTATATCTCACATAAGAAAAGATGAAATATTGCCTTTTGCAACAACATGGATGGATCGCGAGATTACCATTCTAAGCGAAATAAGTCAGACAAAAAAAGTCAAGAACCATACAATGGCTCTTTAAAAAAAAAAATCAAACTTTTAAAGTATTGAAGTATGATTAACATAAAAGGCATAGATCTTAAGTGTTCAGCTCAGAGTTTTGACAAATGTATATGCTTGTGTATCCACCCCTGAAATATGATACAGAATATTTCTTTTACTCCAGAAAGTTTCCTCTTGCCATTTTCCAATAAATTTTTTCATCACCCATCCACAAAGCATCCATTTTGTGATCTCTATATGGTTTATTTTGGCCCGCTCTTGGACTTCATTTAAATAGAATTATACAAAAAATATTACTTTGTATCTGGCTCCCTTCATCTAACATAATTTTGTGAGATTCACGTATATCACATGTATCAGTAGTTTATTCTTTTTTCTGCTGCATGTACCCTATAATATGTACACGTATCTCCTGTTCATTATCTTCTGTTAATGAGCATTTGGTTTGTTTCCAGTTGTGGCTACTATGAATAAAACTGCTCTGACCCTTCTTGTACAAGTTTTCCTGTGGACATCTGCTTATATTTCCTTTGAGTAAATACTTAGGAGTGTAATTGCTACTGATAGAGTAACTTCATATTTAGCTTCATTAGAAACTACTTAAAATTTTCTAATATAGTAGTATCAATGGGTTCTTGCACTAGTAATGTTGGGAAGTAGAAGATAAGCATTCTCCATTATTTTTCCATTTCTTTTCTCATGCAAGAATTTTTAGAGTGATGAATTCCAACCGTTTAATGCATTAAATTAGAAAACAATGAATCTTAACAGAAGCCATAGTCCAAATGCTTATCTCTCCCATCATATGCAGTATAATTTAAATCAGATTTTTCTGGTGTATAAATTAGCCTATGGGCATAAGTTAGAGTTTTATGCAGACTTCTGTGTGTAGTGGTTTAACACATATCCTGAGAGAACAAGATTCAAAGTACCCCACAGAATTATCTACCCACTTACCCTTTCTGTTCACACATTATTAGGAAAACGGTATACTGAAGAGCGTTTTATATTTCAGTCTTAGTACTTTTGTACTACTATTTTGTGTAGTCCTTCACAAGAGTCAACAGATAAGGCTGTCTGATATTTATAAATACAAATATAAAAATTTTGTGGATATAATTTTCAATATTTTACACTTAATTTACTTAGACTCTAAAAGATTTAATAGCTCACTTTATTTTTCTTTCTTAAATTCATAAAGTCCAATCACTTTTTATAAGATTTTTTCTATGTCCCTTTTAATTTTAATAATGGCAGGAAAATGCACTTGATTATGCAGGAGTTATGTGTGTTTTTTATTAAACTGTTGAATTAGAAACGAAAGACTAGATAATGAAAAGCATGGCTGAATTTTGTTCTGCAATTATTACAGGAAAAGTGACATCACATACAAACACACACAAAACGTCCTTGTGAGAAAATTATGGCCAAATTTTTTCAAATTATTTAACACTGATACTGTACTGCACTCATGATGATTTCACCCCATTTCAAGATCTCAGGAAGGATCTTGTAACCCAAGAGTAGCTGTCACTGCAAAACCATATATTATTTTAAAGTTCTAAGTCTAAGACTACATTGACTACGTTACAAAATCGGATAACCCATCGGTGGAGTCTAAGTTACAGAATCAAAAATACTATTATTTTAGAGCCATAATTTCAGGAATATTTATCTTTAATGATAATTAAGCAAACTAGTACTTTTCAAGGTAGTTGTCAACTGCAGGAAACAATGGCTACCCATCAGTAACAACATTTGGATTATTTTGATGAAGGACAACAGGCATACACAAGCAATTAGTTAAAGTAAATTTCAAAATCTCTGCATTCTGGCTTAATGTTTAAATGCCAATAGCCTTGAATTTATTACAGTGTCCATGAGTTCTAAAGGAGAAAAAAGAAGTGATTTTTTATCCCCCAAATTGCCTGATAATTTTTTGATGTAACATAAACATTTAAGAGATATAAGAGAATTTGTATACAGTGAATGGCAAGAAAATCCTTTGGCTAGTATGTAGTAATATGCCTAGTGAAAGGAGAAACAAAGGAAAAGAAAAAAAAAGTAACTTAGTGAAAGGAAAATACCAATATAATCTGCTATGACATCCACTAGCAGGCCTGCTTCTTAAACCCAAGTAAGCATTCAGCCTCCAAAGCTATCATAGGCCACATTAGCACCACTTTATTCAGAAAGATATAGGACAGGAGTCACTGCATGACAGAGGCCAGCAAACAGTATTGATTAGGTGGTCCATCTAACACTCCATGCAACAGTCCACATTGCCCTTCAAGAACTGTGCTGTTTGACCCCTCCGCTCCCCTTAGGTCCAAACCGCAGGTGAGAGATCAGGTGGGAAGGATAGATTCACACTGGTGAGTTCAGAAGCCCTCCTGGCTTAAAAGCTTTATATCATCAGGAACCAATATTTCTTTTATCAACCCTATAAGTATAACTTGCAGGATTCCTACAAGGTGTATATTTGTATGTAAGAGTTACTGCACTCAGGCAAGCCCAAAATCATTGTTTACAATCAAGTATTTATAGTTCTCAATCAAAATGCAATCCACCAACATGCATTCATTTTTACCATAAGCAATGTTGCTTAGCAACGGTTACCACACACCACCTCATCTGGCTACCAAGGAAACAAAGCTAGAAAGTTAGTAAAAGGTCAGATTTTCATGCAGAGAGGAAAGTGATTGTGTTAATCTATTGCCCACATCTAGTCTCACCTACAAAACTGTGAAATCAAGTCGAATTTATGATTTTGCATGTAAATATGGTATAATTCTCTCTTGTGATTTTTTTTTCTAGAGCTGATGTACACGGTTGAACTTGCTGGAGGGCTTGGTGCTATCCTTTTGCTGCTTGTTTGTTTGGTGACCATCTACAAGTGTTACAAAATAGAAATCATGCTCTTCTACAGGAATCATTTTGGGACTGAAGAGCTGGATGGAGGTAAGATAAGTTCCCTCTTTTAATGTTCTTTCTCAATATTATTTTTTGTTTCCTTCATTTTATTAGGGGAAAGAAAAGTTACCTATGTAACCATTGACAGCAGCTCTTAGAATCTTTCAGTGTTTGGTTCATAAATTCATCTTTTATGTGGTACTATATGTGTGATACTTTGGAGTCAATAGATATATTCCTCTGAAAATTGTAAAGCAACACCTACCCTTTTTAGAATCATATTCCAAACAGCACTTGCAAGTTACAAATGCTGATTGCAATGCTATCAGTGTGTTCATCTTCTCTCACCTTGTAATCAGTACTGAAAAATCAGCTTTACTTTTCTATAGGTGAGGAGTGTCTCTTTTAATTGTGTTCCCTAGCCTAGTAGTTTGAAGTGAATCTCAATTTGTTCCTTATTTAAACCGATCAGTTATAATAAACTGCTGAATGTTTTAGAATTCATCCAACAGTCTTTTCAATCCTGTTTATTTAGCTATATTGAGACAAGCTAATTTTTATTCCAAGTGTCAACCAACAGATAAGAAAGTGCACAAGCACATTATTTTCATAATAATACATTTAATAATTTTACTGAAATTGGACAAGTAAATATTGTTTTCATAGAGATAGTAATTAATATTTGCCTCTAGTCAGTCATGAATATATATACAATCTAAGAGGAATTTGGGGTCCAAAAACTGAACTCCTTAAACCACTCATTAGAGAATGGAAATGTTTTCCTTTTTGGTCATTTGAAAGTGATTCACATGTAAGATAAACTTGCAATATAGGAAGCATATGCAAATCAACAATAAATAGGATGGTAAAGGTTCTTCTTCATATTTATAAACTTTTTTTTTCATTGACTGTCAGTTTTGCACTAAATGGTGCAAAAGAAAATGAAGCGATTGCCCATGTTACCACATTTTCAGGGGCCTCTGGAATAAATCCACAGGTAGAACTATAGGTTGTCAGACTTGTGAAGAGGAAAAGTTTGTTCAGCATCCCTAGCACTCCTTCCCCTTTCCTATTAGGGTGAAGTCTATACTGTAGCAAAACTTTTTTTCTCTTTTAATTTTTAAGTGCTGAGTTGCCTATTTGTTCTTTGTTCCTAACTTTCTTACGTGTTCATATAAATGATTAAATATTTTGCTACCGCTTCAAAGAGATGGAAGAAAATTGCCAATGTCAGAGCTATTGTTGAATGGGTACCAAGCAATGTGCTAGGCATTCTTAAAATAATTTTTGCTGAGCCTCAAATTCTGAGATCAATGTTATAATATCCATTATACTGATAAGGCAACTAAGGCTCCGAGAAGTAAATAACTTACTGAAGAAGATAAACACAAATATTACTGTACATGGCCAAGATGGGACTTGAAAATAGGTCTATTTCCAAAGCTTTTATTATTTTTATTTTTATATTTGTAGTTTTCCAATTATAGTTGACATACAATATTATATTAGTTTATTTTATGTTCTGAATGACATGAATGATTTTACCCAAACTATCAATTCCAGTGCAGTTTTTATTTGTCAATGTTCTGAATGGTAGAAGATTCTGGATGGTTTAGATCCCTCTAAACCTTAGTAATATACCCTTGGGTTCTTCTACACTTGCTGTTATGGTCACATAATTATCTACTCTCTTACAATGGTCGAGAATTTCTCTAACATCATCAAATCCCCATTCTTCTTCGCTTTCCCTCAATTTTTTTCATCTTCCAAAGAAGAGATATCTGTTAAGAAGAGACCCCAAGCATTTCATATTCTTGACTTGGCTTTTAAAAAATGTAATTTGAAAGTCAAAACCGAGCAATGTCTTTATCTTGACCATCTTATTACTTCCACCAAAAAGAGAATATATAAAATACTCTTGGAAG